TGCAACGAGTTAGATTAATTTGACGCTATAAATTGAACAGCGTGCTTAGTAATGCGTTCATTTTTCCATTTCAGCACTGTCGCGCGATATTTCTAGTCGTTTCGCCACGGTGATGCCTCGAGGCCTTCCGCGCGTGCAGCAAAATAGAGACGCGCGGGAGAGTTATTCCCTGCATTCCGAACCCGAGAGATCCTCGACAGGCGCGAGGCTGCGCCGAGCACGAAATTGACAACTCGCGGGTGGCAAGGTCGGACAAATGAGGCGTCGCGCGGCGAACGACGACGCGAGGCGATCGGCAAGGATACCGATGACCGTTCGTCCCTGCGAAACGGCTGTGCGTGGGCCCCAGTGAGAAGATGTCGCAGACCGCGGATGCTGAAAGCGAGACGGGCTCCATTTGCGACGAGGAACGCGTTCGTAAACTGTTCCAGGCATGCGACGGCGACGGCGATGGCTACATCGACAGGTGAGCGAAAAAAATCATTCGTCAATAATAGAGAGGAATAGCCCCTGTTACGAGATACCGAGTTCATTTTGGGTAAATGCTAGAAGTCTACAGGCAGAATGTAAAAAAAATAACAGATCATTTTGAAGGGAATTTAATAGGCTTTAAGATAACGTTACGTAAAATTTAATTTAAATTCCATTTTTGTTTTTTTTTTTTGAAAATTAAAGAAATGTAAAAAAATGAGCAAATCGCAAAGAGTCAAAAAATTGCGCTCCTAATATGAGATGTCCCGAGAAATCGATAGTAAAAACGCAAAGTATATCGGTATTGCGATTAAAAAACTGTATTTAATGTTTCTAAAATACAAACAAGCGCAGCCAGCGTGCGCGAAAAATGAGCATGCGATTAGATTATACCAGAACTCGTTTTCAGGTAGTTTGGAATCAAGCATCGCAGATACAGGCGCTCTCGATGTTCATATTAGAAATACTGTAGGTATCTCATATTACGATTTCCACGACTTACAATTTTACGATCATCGAAACGTAACTTCTACAATTAAACAATTCAATATATCCCGTATTTTTCTATTAGTCCGATTTTATTCTATCACTACATGAAGAATTTATTGCTAAATATTCATCTATTAAATAATAAACAAGGTTTAAATGCTCATTTTAATAAAACTTGAAGACATCCAAATTCTAAAATCTTGTTTTACAGTGATTACAGGTATGATCTAATGAATTTTCTACTAAGTAGTTTTCAATCCAAGAGCAATAAATTCATGATGGAACCAAAGATAGCGTTTATTAGTTTAGCAGAAACGCCGCTATCTCGTATTAGACGCCTATCTCATAATAAGGGGCTTTTCTTTATATAATACATCGAAGAAAGTACTCTTTTTCATATAGAAATGCATCTCCACAAATTGGAGGTGCACGTTAACAAAAAAAACTGTTGGTATTGATATTAACACAAATTATATAGATACCGCGTGTATATATAATAGATATTAAATACACACACCGATATATATATATATATGTATATATTCTTTAGAGTACGTCTATGCCTATTTTTCTGAATGTAGATTAACTTTAATTTCGGTTCAACTTATTCTTCTTTTTTTTTCTAATTCCTAGAACTAGAAAAAGACGAAGAGTTAAACTGTGAGATTAGAGTTAATCTACATTAATGGAAACGGATATGAATCTGATTTTTCCGTAACGCCCAGAAATATATATGCAACGTTATCTTGCATTTTTCTCTACGGAGTCAAATAAATTCCGTTCGGCGAATTTGCCGCGCGGATCTTCGTGCGATTGTACAGTTAACGATGACTGGTATCGCGTGGAATGGAAAGAGCTTGTTGATAGGACCGCGCCTGCCGCTGGCATGTACGTTTTAATTATTTCTTCAATTAATTAGAGCTATCCCTCCCCCCCTCTCTCTCTTTCTCTCTCTCTCTCTCTCTCTCTCTCATACTCTCCTCGCTCTGTGGCGAGCGAGCTCTGACTCTCGCGAGAATTGAACGAGAGGCGACTGACGCGGCATATTTCTTTTTACTCTTCGCCAACTTTGGTGAGAGTACAAACTCGTCGGAATAAACGCGAGAGAGGGAGAGAGAGAGAGAGAGAGAGAGAGAGAGAGAAATAATAAGTTGACAATAATTTACAAGGACGAGCATATCCCATAGAATAAACGCGGACTGTGGACCACTTGGTAACCGTTTGCCACACCGTTCTTTTTATTTTTCCAACTTGTGAGATCGAGAAAACATTTTCTCGTTGCTTCATCGAATGGGCTGTCTGTTTCGTAAAAGTAACAATTTCGAAACAGTCTCTCTCTTCCTCTATTACTTTCTTTTTCTCTCTATTACTTTTTTCTATTTCTCTCTCTCTCTCTCTCTCTCTCTCTCTCTCTCTCTCTCTCT